AACTATTAATTCTGCACCTTTCACGGTTATATTTTAAACGAAATTGTACGGGGAAAATCGCAAGTTAATTAAACAATGTAGAGAAATTGAAGAGGATTACTCCTTCCATGTCCTCCTCACTGTTTTCCTCCGTTCTGCTTCCAGCTGGTACTAACGTGATAACAGCTGTGCTGTATATACATCTATAAAAAAATTTCCTATTTATTCCACACATGATTACATATAAAACAATGTGTCGCGCTGATTATACCAGACAACGCCGTGAGATGTTAAGAAATAAACGAAAACACTACCAAGAAAATTCAAGTCAATACGAGAGAAAAGGTTGCTAGCACTAGCGACATGCTGGCACTGACCACATCTTGTATCTCGTCCAGCTTACACTACTACTCAGTTTCTAATTTACGTCTTGGTGACGCGGTGGAGCCAACATCCAATTATGAAACTTCACAACTTGCAAACCTTGGAAGAGTGTGGGGTAAGCGCCGGTTGTTGGGTCACCCTGGGCATGTGAAGAAGTATTGCGCAAGCCCAAGAGCCAAGAGATGACGTTCAGGTAAGTAATGAATTCTGAGAAGCACCTTGCAGTGCCGGTGAGCTCGCTGTAGTAACCTTTTGAACACACTAAACACCTGTATGAATAAAAAGGGAAAGATACCTAGGTTACATTTAATTCAAGAGTACCTTGCCTTGGACTACTTTGCACGTGTATCAGCGTCCCTACAATGTTCAAACAACCACGCTCCTCTGTAATAAGCCTTCGCTATCGATACAGTAGTGTATATCAATATGACCACCCCAGTGTGGGCAAGTTATCTACAGACTACATGCTAGATAGTTCCTATTCACACCCATCCATTTACACTCCAGTATTTGTCGAACCTCTTTATTGAAGATCACCAATGCGACATGTTTACTAAATTACCCACGTCTACACAATCGCGTGGATATCTATCCATACACTACTTATAGGACCCAGTATTTACACAATGATTGTCTACCCACATATCTAAACAGCAAGTGATATCTAAATGACAAATGATATTTAAACTACTATTGTCTGAACAATGACTATTAATGTCTAAACCGACAACTGATTTAAACAATAACACCTGATGTCTTAGTGTCTAATGCGAACCAATTTTACTTGCGGCTAATCATTGACAATCGACGTCTAACATGTCTGAATAACAAGTCAACTGTCTAAAAGGCAAACAATGTCTCATCTAAAGCAGATGACTCTCCTAAATAACAAATAACCCGCTTTAACTATAATCTTCTGTACACTGACATTGAATCCATCTACACAATGACAATAGAAGTGTCTACACTGACAAATTACCTGTTTACACAGTGAAGAATGGTGTGCTTATTCAACGTGGCCAGACTATCCAGTAAGCAGAACTGCCGGATGTGAAGTTTCTCAGAGAGGATTAGCATTTTTATGACGAATCGCTGACGTACGGAAAATGAGCGTTGCTCCGATTATTTGGATCAAGAGCTCTTCACCTGCATCAAGACATCCTTTTTCAAGGGTTCTCAAATGTGCTGAGCAGTGGCTAGAGAAGAACTAAGAACATGAATGATAAAGCAATGAAAGGAAAATAGAAAGGAAGAACGAAAAGAAAGGGAAATAGGAAAGGAACGAAGCAGGTGTAGTGTGAGCACTCCATTTCAAAAGAGGTAACAAAATAATTATAATAACCGTAGAGGTTATACAGTACCTATGGAATAGGAGTGTCACGTTTGATCCAAGAGAGGGGAGCTCCAATTCCTTGAGGTTAGATTAGGTTAGGTTTGTCAGGAAACAAGTGTTTCCCAACGCGGGTCTTAGTCATATGATGACCCGCCACTGGAGCTTCTGGTCATCTGACAGAGGCCTTCCGCTGGCTTGAATCAATCCCTCTCGCCCTTCTTGGTGGGTAGTGAAACAAACAAGGTACCCGGTAGAATGAAATCCAGCTAATTACGTATCCGGCACTTGAATTACATATACGAGAAAAAATTTTGTAACAAGAATGGAGAGAGAGATGGATGTGGGTAAATATTTCCTGAGCTGAAAAGGGACAAAGTAGTTTGCAGGTTGGACAGAATTTTGATAGGTAATGGGAAAAACCCCGACGAGTCCAAATGCTGGAGGCACTGATATTGGGAAAGCTGAGAATGGGTAGCTTACCAAATACTGTATAGCGCAGCACATTAATTAGGTTAAAGGTACGAATCTCGGTTATACGTGGCACTGTGCCAAAAGTAGGCACTGAATGGCTATCCAACGCAAATTTTGCAGATTGCCAGAATAACAAACTTTGCAAGGGAAATACATTGCTTTACAATTCATTGGTAATTAGAGCATTCTATCGCAATTATGTTTAGATCGTCTCAATCATTTTATTTAATTACAATAAAGCTTTCAGAATTTCCCAATTTCAATAAAATTAGGAAGCACTGTCTAATTATTGACAAACCAATGTTCAATAAAATCGACAAATTAAAACACTAAAAGGTTGAAATCGACCAGAACCATCATTCACCAAGTTTATTAACCACGTTATTTATATGAATGGTATACATACCGACAAGATGAAAATTAGACACACATGCAACATTTGGGTATCTTTAATGTAGACGTTTCGCCAACCAGTGGCTTTAGGAAAGGCAAGAAGGCAGGCGCTTATTTACTGGCCTCAGGTGAAAAGGGGATTCCCCAGTGGAAGTAGGTCATACCCAAAGGACGGGTTAGTAGCAGTGAAGAAGGTTGAGATGTCCTCTGAACCAAGATCTCATGATGTTGCACGTGAATGGTATACAATACCGATCAGTATATAACCTGACGCCAGTATGTAAGTGCCTGCCTCCTTGCCTGTGCTCAGAGTGCAACGAACTAGTGAAGTAGCAGCAGCAGCAACACTCACAAGAGGCATTCTTGAGCTTCCCCAGCTCTCGGGCCTCGGTCCAAAACTGGGTTGTGGCTCGAAAAGGATCCTGTAGTGCATGCTGCCTTTGCACCTCCTGACATCGTCTGCTGCTTTGCAGCTGCCACACCCTTCGAGCTCAGTGTGGGTGGGGTTTGTGGCAGCACATGGTGCCTAGCTTCTTCCTCAGAGCCCCATGGGGCGGGGAATGGAGCTAGGCCTGGGGACAACTAGTCCCAGAAGACGAGGAGGTACTTGTACCTCCTATGGCAGACACTGGTCTGAGACAAGACCGGGCCACCACTTGGAAAAGGCCTGGGCCAGGCTATTATACTGGCGAACCTACCTACCTTGCACCGACTACTGTGCTCTTCGCATGAACTCCAAGACTGAGTGAGGGACTGATTACCTCATCTTTTCTATATAGCTCTACTGTCTTCAAATTATGTCCTAGAATTTGTATTGATAAAGCCACTGGATGGCGAAACGTCTACATTAAAGATACCTAGATATTGCAAATGTGTCAAACTTTCACCATGTTATTTAATTAAAATTTGCACTTACACAGACATTTACGCTTCAAAAGATGCATCAGTCAATACAGACTGAAGCTGCTCGGAAGTCATACTCAAATGTCACGGGGAATAAAAATCAAAATGGTAAATCGGCTCCTACACATTCCTATAATCACAACCTTCTACGTAGAATACACCAGTGTTAAAAGTTTGAAGCCGAATAGAAAAGGTTTCTCATATCGCATGGAAACCAATATTAGGGATGACTGAATATAAAATTGACAAAGGGCACTTGCGCTTCCCAAGTTTCATGAATTTACCCTAGATATAGTTCACCAGTTTGATGGGATGAAGCGCTCTACATTAAAGCAGTACGAAAATGATCTTGAGGAATCACTAAACTCGTGAAACTTAAAAACTCAAGAATTACCGGCCCATGCTAAGCAGATTTAACTTTCACCCAACCACACCCACTCCAACTTATTTTAAAAGCTATCCAAAGTTCTCACTTCAGGAATACAAGAACACATCCATCTTAGGAACGTGGAGGAAATGATTAGCGCTAATTCTTTGGATCAAGAGTAAATCGGATCAGTGAAAGACGCAATTCGATATGGAAAAATATTATGATCTATCTTTGGGCAACAAAATAACCACAGCACCGTTAAATTATTAAAGATGTTAAATAATATAAACCCAAATTTTGTGGGGGGGGGGGTATATTTTATTTAAAGCAATGCAAATACAAGGTGGTAGTTTAAGGTGATGGGGGAATGAACGAAAATGAGGTGGGGGAGGTGAAAGTTGACTTAAGGAGTGGTCTGGTCAACCGGGTAGTAGGAACATAATGTACCTTCCTGCATGAGAGTAACCTTGAATGAATTAGCAATATAGAATTCTCAAGTGGGATTTTTTTTTTAAATAGTTAACAACATACGTCTATAGATAAAACCAGCAGAGAACAAAAACGAGACGTTCAACACATGATTGAGGAAAGGCAAGCAGCAGGCGAGAGTCGTCCTGGACTCTTGACTAACAAGATTTTACTGACAATGAATATTTCTCAGTATAATTATATTTCGTGTAGCACGCAAAAAAATATTATACCACATTCCAGTTTATATTTTATTCTCACACAGTACTTTGCACTAGAAAAATATATAAATACTGGCAAAAAAAAAAAAAAGTGCTCACGTCAGCGAAACGGGTAGGGGTGCCAGGGTTAATTTTAGCTAAGCACAGAAATACAAAGAATATGTGGATATTACCAGTGGTGGCTGTCAAAGCCAGAGCACAACAGGTTTTTCTTTCTACTGCACACACCACTGTAATTTTCCACAATGATGTGTCCTGGCATTGTAGCTTCTTTCGTAATGCAGAATTCTAACCACCACAACTTGTTAGATCTAATGTTAACTAGAAAACATGTTTAAAGGTCAAACACAACAGCCTCTAGTTGCACAACACCACCTGTGGTTTTTACAGTTTCACTTGGGTTAACCTACACTTTTAAAACTGCAAAACTGTTGACATATTAACAAATAACACCAAAGACCGATCAAATTAGACTTACCGATGCCAGAAAGAGCAAGTAGGGTGAAACAAGTGGCGAAAAGCTTCATTTTGAGTTAGCGTACGGCCCAAGGTGGAGCACAAAATTCAGGATGAGAGACGTGCACCTCACGCAAGAGACAGACGACAACTGAACTACTCTGGGCAGGCCGGCCCGGCCATGGCCGGTGTTGGATGGCCTATGGGGAGGTGTCTGGGGAAGGGGCGTCGGGGATGGGTGGCAATGGGGGAGACTGGAGGAAAGGCGGGTGGTGATGAGTAGCCAGGGGGATGCGTTTGTGTACTCTTGTAGGGGAGGCGGGGATGGATTAGGGCAGGGCTGTTATCTTCTCTCAAGGTGTATAGGGGGTGAACTCATGAGCATGGGGAGAGGTATACTCATGGTCATATGAGATGTACTCATGGGTGTGGAGGGAGATGCCCACATTGGTGTGGGGAAAGGAGGGGAAGGGAGGGTTGTACTAAATGGAGTGGGCGGTGCTGCTGATTCTTGACGGAATATACGTAAGGGAACTTCTGAGAAGTTCAAGAAACCGGTTTTCTAAGATGCTTTAGCGTATTCGCGTGGATATATATATATATATATATATATATATATATATATATATATATATATATATATATATATATATATATATTACAATCCCCTCTCCCTCCCTGTACATGAATGGTATACTTTACTGACAAAATAAAGACTTAGACATATGTGCAACATCTTGGTATCTTTATTTGTAAACGTTTCGCCATCCAGTGGCTTTATTAATACAATGCATATAATTATACAAGTCGGACAGCACCGTCGTCGTAAGCTCTTCTCTTCAATGTGCGGGTTATTTGTGTATCGTTCCAGTCACGGTATTGTGCCTTTTTTTTTGTTATTATACACTCTTCACATTATATCCTTGTATTGATATAGCTACTGGTTGGCAAAACGTCTACAAATAAAGATTCCCAAATGTTGCATATGTGTCTAATTCTCCCCCTCCCCTCCCCTCCCATCCACACAAAACTTTCCCAGTATTCAAATAAACAACAAAACAGGAAAATTTTGGAGTGTAGGTAATATAAGGTAACGTATGTTCTTAATGGCACAATTAAACATGCCACATTGTGCTGCTATTCTAATCTATATATGACATTTGACAAAGTTACAGCAAGAATGAACTATAAGTACGTATATAACATTTTTCACGTAAGATGGTTGTTTATACAATGATCAATGAGCATGGGCCAGTAGGCCTACTGCAGTGCTCCTTCTTTCTTTCGTAACAACCACTACGCTATACAGCCAGCCTTATTGGATGACGTCAATACTGCGGATTCTGGATATATCTAGATTCCAGATTCATTGTCGGAAAAAGATGTTTCTCAGTAAATTCATAACCTATATGCAAATTGTGTAAATTATCACATGGTGAAATGAGAGAACAGATAGTGGTAAGTTGCTTTGGTCAGAAAAAAAACTGTAGATGCAGTACAGTTACGGGTTAGCCAAGGCAACAGTGCATAAGTAGTCAGTTGTCACGTGAGGTCACAGACCCTGAGCTGCTTTGGGGATTAGTGTGGACGGTTACAAAGCATGGCTTGCTTCTGCAGTGTTTTAAAAATTGAGGTTGGAGAGTTGAAGGAGGAGGTCTTGCTTCTCCAGGAGGAGATTAGGAGGCTGAAGGTCCACCTAATGGGTCTGGGAGAGTGTGTGAGGTGGCTGGAGTTGTGGGGAATGAGGCTTCTAGCAGTGAGGTGCAGTCTGTCTCTCGCTGTGAGGAGGCTGTAGTTGGGGAGGTAGCAACGGCTACCAGCAGTGAGGTGCAGTCCAGCACCTGCTACAAGTGGCGAGTGGTTCACAGTAATGGAAGGCGCATCAGAGTAAGGAAAGTTAAGAGTGAAGATCTGAAGGTAGGAAATCGCTTCTCTGTTCTTCAGGATGAATGTACTTCAGTGGCCAGTGAAGGTAAGGGTACTACTGCCCCTGCTAATGGAGGTAAGCACATTCTTGTGGTTGGTGACTCTCAGGTAAGATATATTGACCGTGCTTTTTGTAATAGGAATAAGAAGATGAGAGATAGAGTGTGCTTCCCTGGAGCTGGTGTTGGGGACATTGTCAACAGGCTGGATAATATCATGTCAGGTAATGGGAACAAGCCCATTATCTGTCTCAGTGCTGGTGGAAATGATATTGGGAAGGGTAGGAAAAAGAGCGCTAGATAAGTACGGGTCAGCTATGATTCTTTAAGTCAAGGGAGGGCCCCAATCATAGTAGCATCTTGCTAAAAGGGGGGTAGGAAATAAATGGTTGTCTAGGGCAATTGGTTAAATGCTGGTAGAAGAACTGCAAGGAACTTGAACCCCATTCTTTGACAACGGAACAATTTTTTAAAGGCAAACATGATATGTAGAAAGGGGATGGGGTCATCTCCTGGGGCGGGGGTGGTCATTTGCAGACTCGATTGAGAGGCCATTGGTGAAATGCCTTGATTTTAAACTGATGGGGATAAGGTATGGATGTGTGTGGGGAAAAAGCAGGTTCAACACTTGGGTTGGAAACAGTAAATGTATAAAAGGCATTCATCATGAAAATTTAAAAAAAAGACAAAAATCAGGGCAGCAAACAAAGGGGGACAGCGAGGGCAGCAAGGGACTAGCTCCCTTAAGGTTTACTATATAAAAGCAGGAGGAAAAAAAAAAAGATAGATGACTAAATTAATTTCAAGTGCAGGGAAAATAAATTATTGTATAACAGAGACCTGGGCCCAAATTAAAGATAAGAGACCCTCTGAAGTCACATACAAGGGGTATAATTATTCCACACTGACAGGGGGCAACGGAAAGGTGGGAGTAGCGAGATGTCCGAGACAATTTAAATTGTTGTTTTAACAAAATTAAATTAGAAGGCCCGCCCCTGAACTGTTTGGGTTTCAGCTTCTCGAGGGCCGAGAAAAACTAATTTTGGGTGTGAATTTTAAGGGCCCCAAATCTTGAAGGGAGTGCAGTAATTCTTGGGGCAAAAACGTAAGGGTCTACATACAAAAGTTGGCTAATGGGAGATTTCAACTAAGCAGATTGCTGGGCATTTTACAGGAAATTTAGAGTCAGGGACTTTCTTGATACATCCCGGGTTTTTTTTTAAAAAAAGTTTGTGACAGAGCCAACTAGGGGAAATAAACCCCCTTTACTTGTTCTTGCCCTAGGGAAACACTAATTAATAAACTTGAGGTTAATTTATGGCTTGGGGGAAAAAGGGTAAAACACCCGTTTTTTTACTGGAATTCCCCCAATAATGGCAATCAAGTCTCCGTCCCTGACTTTTTGTTTTGATTTTAAGGATGAAAAATTACTTAGGTGGGGGGGAACTGGGGAAAGACCCGCTAAGGGCAGGGAGGTGGGGAGGTTGCCGATATGTGCTTTCCAGGGCATAGTTCTACTGTCAGTCAAATTTTGTTCCAAATAGGGAAATCAGATCAAACAAAAATGATTTTTAAATGGTAACAAAATTAAAATATCTGATTGGTAAAAGAGAGGCATAATAGGCAAAACAAAAGAGGAGAGGGGGAATTGAGAAAACGATATATTCAGTTAAAGAGAGAAATAAAAAAGGGAATTAGAAAAGCAAAAAGAGATGATGAGGTTAAAGTTGCAAGAGAATCGAAGACTAACCCAAAAGGACTCTTTCAGGTATACAGAAGTAAGATCAGGGACAAGATAGGCCCACTCAAAAGTTCCTCGGGTCAGCTCACTGACAGTGATAAGGAAATGTGTAGAATTTTTAACACATACTTCCTCTCAGTTTTTACACAGGAGGATACCAGCGATATTCCAGTAATGATAAATTATGTAGAACAGGACGATAATAAACTGTGCACTATTAGAGTCACAAGTGACATGGTCCTTAGGCAAATAGATAAATTAAAACCTAACAAATCCCCAGGCCCTGATGAACTGTATGCAAGGGTTCTAAAGGAATGTAAAGAGGAGCTTAGCACACCTTTGGCTAATCTTTTCAACATATCACTACAAACTGGCATGGTGCCAGATAAGTGGAAAATGGCAAATGTGATACCTATTTTCAAAACAGGTGACAGGTCCTTAGCTTCGAACTATAGACCAATAAGCCTAACCTCCACAGTGGGAAAATTTATGGAATCAATAATTGCCGAGGCAGTTCGTAGCCACCTTGAAAAGCATAAATTAATCAACGAATCTCAGCATGGTTTTACAAAGGGGCGTTCCTGCCTTACGAATTTATTAACTTTTTCACTAAGGTATTTGAGGAGGTAGATCATGGTAATGAATATGATATTGTGTATATGGACTTCAGTAAGGCTTTTGACAGGGTCCCACATCAGATACTATTGAGGAAAATTAAAGCACATGGAATAGGAGGAGAAATTTTTTCCTGGATAGAGGCATGGTTGACAAATAGGGAGCAGAGAGTTTGCATAAATGGGGAGAAATCAGAGTGGGGAAGCGTCACGAGCGGTGTTCCACAGGGGTCAGTGTTGGGCCCCCTGCTGTTCACAATCTACATAAACGACATAGATGAGGGCATAAAGAGCGACATCGGCAAGTTTGCCGATGACACCAAAATAGGCCGTCGAATTCATTCTGACGAGGACATTCGAGCACTCCAGGAAGATTTGAATAGACTGATGCAGTGGTCGGAGAAGTGGCAGATGCAGTTTAATATAGACAAATGCAAAGTTCTAAATGTTGGACAGGACAATAACCATGCCACATATAAACTAAATAATGTAGATCTTAATATTACGGATTGCGAAAAAGATTTAGGAGTTCTGGTTAGCAGTAATCTGAAACCAAGACAACAGTGCATAAGTGTTCGCAATAAAGCTAATAGAATCCTTGGCTTCATATCAAGAAGCATAAATAATAGGAGTCCTCAGGTTGTTCTTCAACTCTATACATCCTTGGTTAGGCCTCATTTAGATTATGCTGCACAGTTTTGGTCACCGTATTACAGAATGGATATAAATTCTCTGGAAAATGTACAAAGGAGGATGACAAAGTTGATCCCATGTATCAGAAACCTTCCCTATGAGGATAGACTGAGGGCCCTGAAACTGCACTCTCTAGAAAGACGTAGAATTAGGGGGGATATGATTGAGGTGTATAAATGTAAGACAGGAATAAAT